ATAACCAGGAGCACTCTATGGAACCAGATGCCAGTTTCAAAGCACCCCGGACAGATCAAGCTCATCTTTTCTGCAGCACCAAATGCTAAGCACCAGAGGGCCGCTCCATGTTTTCAACACCTAAATATGTCTCTGCAGAAAAGCTGCTACAAAGAGTAATCCCAATATTAGCATGTAACCAGTTCACCCAGGGCAATCAGTGAACTTCCTCGGGGCTCACAGCCACCAGGCTCACTTCAGGAGCAGAGCAGGAATGTGCCCGTCCTGGACTCAGGATTACTGCTCACTTGACTGGACATCTGAAAGCGTAAAACATGGGAGGGCTACAGCTATTCGGGTGCACAAAGCCATTTTTGCCACCACAGTCAACACCAAGCCTACGACATTTCAATCTAACGTTCATTCTGGTTCCACCAGAAGAGAAATGCAAATTCTCTGTTCCCAAGACATCATATGAAATATAAAAAGAAAAGCATCCCTTTTCCTTGTTTTGTTTTTGTTTGGAGAGGAAGAGGCGTGCAGGTCTAATTTTAGTTTTTATTCATTCAACAAATTTTTGAGGAGATAGAAGGAAGACACATTGCATTTAACTTCCACTAGAAGGGTATTTTTTGATCCACATTGTAGAAGTCATTTTGTAAACAAAGACTCTCTTTAAATACCAAAGCTTTGCAATTATTCTACACACACATGTGCAGAATTATCTTGTAGAGACATAGACTAAAATATTTACAGATGAAACGATATGATGTTGCTTCAAAACAACAGAGTCTGGAAAAAGAGGGTGGTGATATTGATTAAACAAGGTTGGCTTTGAACAGCTCATGGCTGAAGTTGGGTAATGAGCATATGAAGTTCACTATATATTCCGCCTACTATTGGTTATGTGTGAGTTTCCCATAATAAAAAAGTTTTCAAAGCACAATGGAGGGGCATTTTGCCAATCTTTTAGCAAAAGAAAATAGCAAATAACTATTTGAGCTCTGGTTTTTAGTTGAGCGTGCTAACCAAGAGTTGAGAAGTTGAAGACCTGTCATTAATTCCTTTTTCTTCCTTAAATCTACTTGGTCCAAAGCTCACTGCCTCATTAAAAAAAAAAAAAAAAAAATTACCACGTGTTCATTGTGAAGGCTCCAAGGTCTCCAAGTAAAACAACCCAAATACCAGCAAATTGGTACTAAAGACAACTCCAATATATGTGCGTCTGTTTACAACAAGCAAACGGGTATTATGTGAGTTTAGAGCACATTTATTGACCTACCACCAACGTTAAGCCCACATAAGCATACATGCCTGTGCAAATTTGATTCATAGATTCAATGGATGGGGGAACCAGAATGGATGGGGGAACCTTCTAGAAGGGAAGGACAGCCTACAGAATTTAGGTATCCCACTGCAGTCAGTCTTTCAATCACCAAAGAAAGGTTATTTACCCAACTCCAGGATTAAAAAATATAATCACTCATGTCCATACTTCCTTTGTTTTACCCAAAACTATCAGGAAACAACTGGAAAACGAACCAAAATATAAACCACTTTGATTCAAAATTGTCTGAAGCAATGTTACTAACATTTCCATGTCTTCTGAGGAATTTTATTAGCCCTTTTTGTTGGGAGAAGGAGGAGATATAATATGTCAGGGTGTGACAGGAGTTTAGCGTACAGGTAATTTTATCACCCAGATAGCCTAGTATCCAATAGGTAGTTTTAAAATCTTCACCCTCTTCCTACCACCCACTTTCAAGTAGACCCCCATGTCCCTGATTCCCAACTTTATGTCCATTTGTACTCAGTGTTTAGTTCCCACTTATAAGTGAAAGCATGCAGTATCTGGTTTTCTGCTCCGGCGTTAGTTTGCTTAGAATGGCCTCCAGGGGCATTCATGTTACTGTAAAGGACATGATCTTGGTTTGTTTTGTTTTGTTTTGTTTTTATTTTGTTTTGTTTTGTTTTGTTTGAGACAGAGTCTCACTCTGTCACCAGCCTGGAGTGCTATCATGCAATCTTGGCTCATGGCAACCTCCACCTCCCAGGCCTAAGTGATTCTACTGCCTCAGCCTCCTGAGTAGCTGGGACTACAGGCAGATGCCACCATGCCTGGCTAATTTTTGTATATTTAGTAAAGATGGAGTTTTACCATGTTGGCCAGGATGATCTCAATCTCTTGACCTTGTGATCCACCCGCCTCAGCCTCCCAAAGTGATCTTGCTGGTTTTTTTTTTTTTTTTTAGTGGCAGTGTAGTATTCCATGGTATATGTGTAACACATTTCCTTTATCCAGTCTGCTGTTGATGGGCACTGAGGTTGATTCCATGTCTTTGCTATTGTGAATTGTGCTTTGGTGAACACAAGTGTGCATGTGTCTTTATGGCAGAATGATTTCTGTTCCTTTGGGTAGTGCCAATAAGGGACTGCTGAGTTGAATGATAGTTCTAACTTGAGTTCTTTGAGAAATCTCCAGAGTGCTTTCCCCAGTGGCTGAACTAACTTACATTACCACCAGCAGTGTTTAGGCATTCTCTTTTCTCCACGACCTCACCAGCATCTGTTCTTTTGTGAGTTTCTATGAGTAGCCATTCTGACTGGTGTGAGATGGTGTCTCATTTTGGTTTTGATTGGCATTTCCCTAATAATTAATGATAGTGAGCATTTTCCCATATGCTTATTGGCCACATGTAGGTTTCTTTCAAGAAGTGTCTATTCATGTCCTTTGCCCATTTTTAAAGAAATGTTTCTACACAAGAAAACCAATTGATGTTGGTGGAATGAGCTGATCGTTCTAACTTAAGGGCAAACCATTAAGACCACAGGGACTTTGGGTTTGAGGGGGTAGAAAATGAGACACTATCACTACAATGTCTACACTGGCTGTTCCTCTAAGAAAGACAAGAATCTTGGCAGGGTTGCTGGATAGCATCCCCCTGAAAGTTCAGGTAAGATGAGAAGAGAAAATATTCATCCCTAATATTATGCCCTTCCACTGGCCCAAAGATCATAGGCCAATTCACAACTATTCATATGCTCTGAAACATGCCACAGTAAGCTATAATTTGACTGAAGTAGTCAAGGGTTCTTTCGTGCCTTTCTGGTTTAATCCCCTGTATCATTTGTGCATGCACAAGTCAGCTTCATAGGCGAAGAGAACAAAGATTTTTTTCTGTCTTCTTATATCCCGACCACTCAAGCATTAAGCATTTTTGCATTTTATGGGTTAGGAAGGTGAGTTCCGTGTGTCGGTGGACAACTGATATGGTTTGGCTGTGTCCCCACCCAAATTTCACCTAAAATTGTGATAATCTCCATGTGTCAAGGGTGGCCAGATGAAGATAACTGAATCATGGGGACAGTTTCCCCATACACTGTTCTCCTGATAGTAAATAAGTCTCACAAGACCTGATTGTTTTATAAAGGAGTGTTCCCCTGCACAAGCTCTCTTGCCTGCCACCATGTAAGAAGTGCCTTTCTCCTCCTTTGCCTTCTGCCATAATTGTGAGGCTTCCCCATCCATGTGGAATTGTGAGTCCATTAAACACCATTTTCTTGATAAATTACCCAGTCTTGGATATGTCTTTATTAGTAGCATAGGAACTGACTAATACAACCACCATGAAAGAAGAAAGGGAATCCAGAAAGTTCTCATTTGGTGGTTCTGTTGATAATTTATCACTTTTTTTAAGAGCTATGGCACATGGATAAAGAGGATACAAGAGAGTTGTAATGTGACCTCAGGTAATCAGGAGAAAATGGAGACAAACAGGGAAAGAGAAGGAACCCTGAGAGGGCTTCACAGAGAGATGGATGAATCTCTGTGGAGGGAACAGAAACTGCTACAGAATCAGACCCCGAACAGCTTCCCTGGTCTCTGCAGGTGCCAGGGCTCATAAAAGAGCAGTTCCATGTCCCAGACCTTGTAGCTTCAAAAGACCAGATGTCATGATGTCCCTTCAAGACCGTTCTAAATACATACTTATCTCCTACGGAAATAAGAAAACTCTAGTTTAATAAATGAATGTCTCCAAAGAACTTTTTTACATCCTTCATTCTATGGCCAAGTCTACAACCACAGAACAGTAGGAGTATCGACAAGCTGTCCATCAGCAAATAGCCACAAACATAGAAGTCTGTGCTTCCCTTCTCCCAGATCCATCAACGGACCGTCTCAGCCTAGTGTTCCATCTCTTGCATAAATGGCATTCTCCCTTCTTTCGCAGCTTCACAGGGACACAGCCGCTAACTGGAACGGAAATTCTATGAGAGGCAAAACTTCCATTTCAAATTCCACTTTGAGTGCCAAGAACACTGAAATAATGGACACCTCTATTTAGCGGAGCACTCAGTTGCTACCACATTTAAGACAAAAACGAAAGCACTCAACACCTTAACTCTGTTGTCCCCACATCCCTGAATTCCTTCAATCTTCCTTGCTTCAAGATTAAGGTCCAAGGAGCAGAAGCTACTGGCCTAATTTTGAGCCTGCATTTGACTTATGCATCCTGTAATACACACGGTATGATTTTTGCTTTTATCGCCCTGTGCAAAGTGACTGAATCAGAGTTTTAATCGCCAGCCTTGTTTATGATCTGTTGTGTTTCTGTTTTGCTTCTGGACACTTGTAGGATCTTCCTGACCCCAGCGTTCTAAAATTTTATGATGCTGTGTCTTGGTGACTGCTCGCATTATCTTACGCAGTAAAAAGCAGATTGAAACAGAGGACATGGTAGAGGATGTGAGCAAGACACAGGTAATTTTTAAAACAAACCTTTTAAAACCATCTCTTACAAATAGTGTGCACATGTAACATTTGTCTCTTTAAACATTAATGCAAGGGAAAGTGCATACCTAGTCCCTCAATGCAAAGATCACATGTTAAAAATTGACAGTGCTGTATCAACTATACGTAATACATTCCGGCTCCCAAATGAAGAAAAAAAGCCATCCTGTTTTGTGTTTTAACACTTTTACATTTTCCTTTACATGTTTTCCAAAGATGAAATAGTTACCTTTAAAAATTTTTGGTAGGTCTGGCGAGGTGGTGCATGCCTGTAATCCCAGCATTTTAAGAGGCCAAGGCAGGAGGATCACTTGAGGTCAGGAGTTTGAGAGCAGCCTGGATAACATGGTGAAACCCTCATCTCTACTAAAGATAAATAAAAAAAAATTTAAAAAAAAGCCAGGCATGGTGACAGGGAGGCTGACGCAGGAGAATCACTTGAACCCAGGAGACAAAGGTTACAGTGAGCCGAGATTGCGCCACTGCCCATTCTAGCCTGGGCAACAAAACCAGACTCTTGTCTCAAAATAAAACAAAACAAAAATTTGTAGCTAAATGAGTTGTGACAGAGACTAACAGTCCACCAGAGATTCTTCCCTCCCTTCTTTGTTTTAGGAAAAGCATCCTCCCACCCCAGGGATTTTAACTAAGAGGAGCCCCACAGCTAGGGAGTACCTTTCCCAGTCTCTTCGTAACTAGGTAAGGGCTGGTGGAATCCCAGGAGATTGAGTTTTGCCAGTGGGAGGTAAGTTGCTGTCCCCAGCCTCTCCCTTTCCGTCATTCTTGCTGGGGAACCTGGAGGAAAACCAGCCTTCTTCCATGCAGACATGGAATTTGGAAGAAAGAGTAGTAAACTTCTAAACTAACTTGAGCCACAGCATTTTAGGGCCTTTTGGGAATAGCAGTTGTAATCCTAACACATAAATCACACCATCAAAGCCCTCACATCAGCTGGAAGCAAAAATCACTCAGGAAAAAAAAAATTTGGGAAAAGAAAAATAGAGAATCCAGAAAGAAAGGATAAAAGGGACCATGACATTTAGAAGGAAAAGAGAAACCCCCCAAAATGACCACATGTCTTTGTTTTTAAAAACCACTTAAAAATCTTTGTAGTGTTTGAACACAGGATTCACATGTGGGTAGAGAAGAAACATGCTCCTCTAGATGGAAAAGTTTCTTTTGTTAGCAGAAAAAGGAGCTAAATTGGGAAACTAAGCAGGCAAGCATCTCAAAAAAGTTAAATTTGATCTAAACATGCTGTACTTTGATGGGAAAGGGCCACAACCAGTTATGGTAAAGGATTTTAATTGGCACTTGTTTTCTGGTTATTTATCATTCACCCTTCAGAATCCTTCACAGAAATACACCCAAGAAGGGCACATAAATACACATACTTAACTGAGAAAAGACCATTAATGGCACTTATAGATCTAAAGGTCCATTTGGGATCCAAAATTAGTTTTGATGGGCTAAGAAACTGCACATTAGATGTACAGACGAAAAATGCAAAGTACCTACTGCTTTCTTCATTTCACAGAACAAATCTAATGACATATTACTCCAAATAACACTACACCAGGCATATCAATCATCACCATCCCTTCATCTCTATGAGTCAATAAAACATTTGAACAAGAAAAGAAGTTTTATAAACCATCTTATTTTCTTTGGAGCTTTTCAAAGGGTTTGGGTTGGTTTACGTCTGAGGGTGGTGGGGAAGTTACTTGGGTTGGTTTATATCTGAGGGTGGTGGGATGTTAGCTGGGTTGGTTTATGTCTGAGGGTGGTGGGGATGTTAGCTGGGTTGGTTTATGTCTGAGGGTGGTGGGATGTTAGCTGGGTTGGTTTATGTCTGAGGGTGGTGGGGATGTTAGCTGGGTTGGTTTATGTCTGAGGGTGGTGGGATGTTAGTTGGGTTGGTTTATGTCTGAGGGTGGTGGGATGTTAGCTGGGTTGGTTTATGTCTGAGGGTGGTGGGGATGTTAGCTGGGTTGGTTTATGTCTGAGGGTGGTGGGATGTTAGCTGGGTTGGTTTATGTCTGAGGGTGGTGGGATGTTAGTTGGGTTGGTTTATGTCTGAGGGTGGTGGGATGTTAGCTGGGTTGGTTTATGTCTGAGGGTGGTGGGGATGTTAGCTGGGTTGGTTTATGTCTGAGGGTGGTGGGGATGTTAGCTGGGTTGGTTTATGTCTGAGGGTGGTGGGATGTTAGTTGGGTTGGTTTATGTCTGAGGGTGGTGGGATGTTAGCTGGGTTGGTTTATGTCTGAGGGTGGTGGGGATGTTAGCTGGGTTGGTTTATGTCTGAGGGTGGTGGGGATGTTAGCTGGGTTGGTTTATGTCTGAGGGTGGTGAGGATGTTAGCTGGGTTGGTTTATGTCTGAGGGTGGTGGGATGTTACTTGGGTTGGTTTATGTCTGAGGGTGGTAGGATGTTAGCTGGGTTAGTTTATGTCTGAGGGTGGTGGGATGTTAGCTGGGTTGGTTTGTATCTGAGGGTGGTGGGGATGTTAGTTGGGTTGGTTTATATCTGAGGGTGGTGGGATATTAGCTGGGTTGATTTATGTCTGAGGGTGGTGGGGATGTTAGCTGGGTTGGTTTATGTCTGAGGGTGGTGGGGATGTTAGCTGGGTTGGTTTATATCTGAGGGTGGTGGGGATATTAGTTGTTTCCCCTCATGACGGTCCCCACAGAAGAACTTTTGAGACATACTTTTCTAAGAAATATGCTGACCAGAAGCTAATGACAAGACATCACTCTCTGCTATGAAAAAAGTAATAATTACAGATCATTTTAATGACTGTAGCTTGTTCCTATACTCCATGATGGGCTTTTGGGGGCTCTTGGTAACCACTGTGTAAATATGTAATTAAGGGCTTTTCAAAAAATTGACATTGTTTAATTAACTGTTTAACAGCTCTGTTACTTGATAAGAGATCATCAGAAAAATAATTAGGACAACCCTTAAAATCATACTAATCTCCAGTTCTTTGAACTTCCTCTGATTAAATCTCCTTAGAAATACAGGTAAGCCTCACGTTGTATGATCATTCTGTCTTCTGTTGGATATAACCAGATTTGTGTTAATCTTCAGAAAGCAGGTGGATTTTATAAAAAACCACTTCCCCTCCATCCTTTCTGAGGGAAAGGCAACTTCTCCAACACAATCGCTGTTTGGCCTGGACATGAGTCTTGGGTACAGTCCAGTTGCCATGAATGGCAGGAAACCCGCCGTGGTCATTTCTGCAGCCTCTGGCTCTCACGATGTTCAAGTGCTTAGAAGCTGTAAGTTCCATGTCTTGCCACCACCATGACAAGGATGAGACCTCCACAAAGGACACTTCAATCAGAAATGGAGAGAGCCCTGGTGACGGCGTTCTCAAGTCAAGGATGGTCACTGCACCTCTCCCACTCCGCTTTCCTTCTCACTCCCAAGTCTCACAAATCTGTGACGAACCTCCCCATCCATGTTTAAATCCCCTCTCTTGAAATCACAAGAATCACAGACCCCTTCTGCGATGCCAGAGGTCATATACATAAAAATGCTCTGAAACAAAATGACTCGCCATCAATCAGTGCTGTTCTGCTTCATCTCCAAATGGTGTGGAATGGCACGTGTGGTGAAATGCTCAGCACAGACTGCCTAACTCTGTGGGCCCCAAAATTTCATCCCAACACAGTCTCAGGCTTGGTCCAGAACCACTGCCTCAGGCTTAAAGTGGAACACCCTATGGGCAGGACAGGATGTGGTTTACATCCTCTCACTTTCAATCCCTGACTCTTGTATCCACCTCTGGCCTTCCTAAGACCCTCAGGGCGAGACCATGGATGTCTGTCCCCTGCCTATCAGCAACTGAGGACACTGGGATTTTAAGGACCGTTATCTGATGGACTGATGATGGCGATGTAAAAATCATCCAGTGTCGGCTGGGCATGGTGGCTCATGCCTTTAACCCAGCACTTTGGGAGGCCAAGGTGGGTGGATCACCTGAGGTCAGGAGTTTGAGACCAGCCTCACTGACATGGAAAAACCACCCCCATCTCTACTAAAAATACAAAATTAGCTAGGCACGGTGGCACATGCCTGTAATCCCAGCTAATAGGAGGCAGAGGCAGGAGAATTGCTTGAACCCTGGAGGTGGAGGTTGCAGTGAGCCAAGATCGCACCATTGCACTCCAGCCTGGGCAACAAGAGCGAAACTCTGTCTCCAAAAAAAAAAAAAAAAAATTAACTAAATTAAAATTTTTTCAAAAATTATCCAATGTCTAGGATGTCTCTAGGGGAATCCAACTCTCAAAGAGGCAAGAAGGCTACATCAGCACCTATCACTGCCCATGATAACTCACTACCTGTTGAAATACAAATATGTTTAATTTTTGTGTAGCTGGTCACTGCTCCAGACTCACTGTGTTGGTTTACAGCTTTCGCACTTTTAACAACCTACAGGCCCAGGCTGGCATTAAAGAAGCCACTGAGACCCACACACCAAACCAGCTCCCTCTCCAAGCTTGCTTCATTCAGGCCCTCAGGAAGTGCTGCCCACAGCCCTCCTCCCATCGTGTTCATGGCTGGGTCACGGTGGCGAAGTCAGCCTTGATCCTGCCTCTTAAGTTTCCCAGCTCCTGCCAATCACGTCCTACTTCCTAATTTTTTTTTCCATGGTGTCTATCCTGCACATGGTGTCTTGTCTGTTGTGGCCAGTCCCAATCCCCAGGTCTGAGGCATGCGACCTGAATTGTCCATCCGGAGGCACCATCCACATGCTGGGACCTGAACACTTCATCTTAGAAAATTAGAAAATCCATAGCAAAAGATATTTGAACTATCAGCTCTGACCCCACTCAGCCACCCTTCTGGGGCAGCCTTATTCTGCACCCATGATGACTCCAGTATCCGTCCTCTACCCTACTTTATTGCCATCCTGCTTCCTCCTGCCAAATGCCTTCCCAAAGTAGCTATGAACTGGCCACGATAGCTTGATACATCTTGAAATACAAATATGTTTAATTTTTGTGCAGCTGATCGTCGCTCCAGGCTCACTGTGTTGGTTTACGGCTGGAATAAAGACTGTTTCATACTTTTTTTTTTTTTTTTGAGAAGGAGTCTCGCTCTTGCTACCCAGGCTGGAGTACAGTGGCGCAATCTCGGCTCACTGCAACCTCTGCCTCCTGGGTTCAGGCAATTCTCCTGCCTCAGCCTCCCGAGTAGCTGGGATTACAGGCACACGCCACCATGCCCAGCTAATTTTTTGTATTTTTAGTAGAGACGGGGTTTCACCGTGTTGACCAGGATGGTCTCGATCTCTTGACCTCGTGATCCACCCGCCTTGGCCTCCCGACTGTTTTATACTTTAAGTCTGCATGATAAAGAAGAGAAGGGTTCTACCGTAGCTATAGTAATAATACATTTTAACTCCTAGAACAGCAGGTCTTGACAATCTTGTTTTCCTCCATGCCAAATCCCCCGAGGTTATCCTTTGCTATTGCCACCTACTTGGTAGATATCGAAGACATTCACAACCTGTTGGAGGATTGAGTGACATATGTTGATTATTCTGCTTTACCGTAATAGCTGGCAGTTCCCACAGCAGTAACCACACCCCCTTTGGATCTGTGGATGGGGCTATGGGCTCCCGCGCTAAACGGCATTAGATTGCGCTGACGTTGATCCCACTTTTCCCAGCTCCTCTATCTCCTTCCTTGCAATTGGGTGGCCTGTTATCATTTATTTGTTATATCAATATGCATGACTAACATATGATCCACCTTCTAATTCTCTGCTTCCAACACACACTGGGCTTCAAAATCACATGGCGTGGCTGCCGCCTGTGAATGCGGCAGGATTTGAAAAGGCCCTGCAGGGAATAGTACACATACACTAGTGCTGATTAGTTTTCTGGGTTGTTGTTTTTGCATGGAGGCTTTGTTCTTTATTCACTTAACAACTGCTGAGCTTTAACCATGTGCAAGGCGTTGTAAGAAACCAAGAGACATGGATGAATCTGGAGAACGTCATCCTCAGCAAACTGACACAAGAACAGAAAATGAAACACCGCATATTCTCACTCATAGGCGGGTGATGAACAATGAGAACACATGGACACAGAAAGGGGAGTACTAAACACTGGGGTCTATTGGGGGGAAAAGGGGAGGGCCAGTGGGAGGGGGAGGTGGGGAGGGATAGCCTGGGGAGAAATGCCAAATGTGGGTGAAGGGGAGAAGAAAAGCAAAGCACACTGCCATGTGTGTACCTACGCAACTGTCTTGCATGCTCTGCTCATGTACCCCAAAACCTATAATCCAATAAAAAATTAAAAAAAAAAAAATAAATAAATAAATAAATAAATAAAAAGTGCCACCTCCCAAAAAAAAAAAAAAAAAAAAGAAACCAAGAGGTGAATAAAATACCATCCTTAACCAGACGAATGAGGACGGATGAAAACGGCATTTCTCATTCCCACCTTCATTCCTAGCAGTGCTCTGAGCAGTTTATGCAAATCCCATTTCATGCACAAAACGAGCCCGTAAGGCAGGTCTCATTACGTTGGGTTTACACACGGGAACACTGAAGGTCACAAAGCTGAGAGGGAAGGTACCTAGCCCAGGTTACGCACTGAATTAGGTGGTGGCATTAGAATCCCAAATGTGTATTCCTCATAACAAAACATTCACACAGCCTCGCTTCCACAAGCAATGGCTGCGATCAGGTACCCA